TTTAAGAAGAACTTGTATCTGTGAAGTTCCTTGGGAAGAATTTATACATACGGGAAATTAACAAACGAACACAGAGGTGTAACAATATCTATAATAATAAAAGAGCCTGTCTCTGTGTGTGTGTGTGACTGCCATAGCTCTGAGAGGAAAGAACCTTGGGACCTGAAACTTTGCATGCATACTAAGGGGATTCTGAGGGTGTGCACCTGGGATTTGACTCAAAATCATTTTGGCCAATTTTTGCCCTATAGCCATTAAGCCCCATAATTCTGATACAAATAAGAGAATTTAAAAAAATCGAATAGAATTAAGTTTGTGAAACGGCAATAAACAACGGGAAGAAAAATATCAGTTGGAGAATATTGGAGAATTCAGATAATGAAAATAATTCAAATAAAAACACAGGAAGAAAAAAACGAATTTGAGAAGCTAAATTAAAACTATTTGCTTTTAAAAAGAGTTGAATAAAATTTGGGAAATAGTAACAGACAAATCAGTTGAAGACTTTGCACAGTAGGGTAGCTATAGAAGTAACTAAGATAATGGAGATGCTTGACTGGTACATTGAAGCTTTTGTCAATCATGAGGAGACCTTAGAATTCTGCAGTGGAGCATGGGTATTTTATGGTAGTATGTAATATATACTTAGCAGGAAATGAAAACAAAAGAAAGCACTTTCATTTTTCAGGGTCTCTTTAAGGTCCTCATTTCCAATACTTAATATCATGTTGTTGTTTTTTTGGTCAATTTTTGAAAGAAATTATCTTTAAAAATTAATTCCACTCAAAAGTAATGTTTGTTTGATATTTTTGTATAATGAGGATTTTTAATGTGTAATAGTAATTTCTGATATACTAAATGATAATATATCAAAAGCAGTTTTAATCCATGAATGTTTTCAAATTTGAGCATACTAAAGATTATTTCTTAATGGAAAGAAATTCTGAAACGTAAACAAATCCACTAATAATCTATACCTCAAAATTATTTTAGGCACTTATCAAACTATAATATTTGTACCCTTTGTTGACCTAGACAATAGTTTCACGTAGAACACGAGAATCTCATTAAGTTTGAGAATTATAAAATGCTAAAATATGAATTTCATATCACTGATGAAAATTAATTTACTTAAAAAAAATTCTTGTTCAAGGAATTGTTTTCCTATAATTTTTTGTATTAAATCTCATTTTTTATATGAAAAATGAAGCAGTGAATCAATCTTAAAATACGAGTAAATATTTAGCTATTTAATTGTGTTCCAGAAACTTGTGCAAACACGCTGGCTGGAAGAGATGAAATCCTCTCTAGCTGACCCAATGGAAGTAACACTAGACATTCTGAGGAAACTTTTAGATTCTGGAGTGAACCTTCCTCCTCATCCGAGTGTGGAGAAAGCTATGGCTCAGCTTCAAGAACTACTGACTGTTGGAGAACGGTGGGAAGAAAAAGCCAAAGTTTGTCTTCAGGCTAAGTATGTTTGAACTGGGTTTTAATAGAGAAGTGTAAGTTATAAATATAAATATAATCTTTTGTTTTATTCCAGTGAGAAAAATCATCATTGTCAGAACTTGTTTTAGCCTAATGAGAGAATGTTAAGTTTAAATAATATTCAGGTAGTTTAGTGTTAAACATTTTAATTTTCATTCATTGGATTTAATGTTGGTTTCCTAATATGAATGGCAAGAGATTGAAGGACATAACTTGAATATTTTTTACAGTCACGTTGAATTATACAGAACAAATTACTAGTCATCATAGTGTCACATCCTTTCCGTGGGTGTGTCTTAAACATTCAGCATCATATTATTATTGTGAATATAGGGTGTGACTTAATATGATACATCTGTTTGTTACCATCTGCCTATGAAGAATTGGAACCATGTATCCTTGAATCTCTTGCCATTCACATAAAAAATGTTATGTCAGAAGTGGAGTTTTTCTACCTTAGAACCTAAAAAATATTTACTAGAACATTTCTTACTTGCACTTAGGCCACAGCAAGGATTACAAGTGTTAGAGGTCATGGTGAATGAAGCCTGTAGCATTCCTCTCTACCTTCCCAATGTTCTTACTCTCAGAGATGTTGTTAAAAAGGCAAAGGATTGGGTTGCAGATGTGGAAAGTTTGCAGGTAATTTTAGTTTTGTCTGCTGAATATGTATACAACTTTTATTTTTTAATTGTGCTTGTTTATACAGGTTTACTCATAAATTCCTTTTGTCCTTGTTTGAAACCTTACTTTGAAGGGGTTGTGTACTATTTTCACCATACAAGAAAGTGTGCTGGTGGTGGGAAGGTAGGAGCTTATGTACACATTTTGACAAATGTTGAAAGGATGTCATTTGTTATCAATGGATATCTTGCAAACATATTAACCAGCTGGAAGTTTGTTAAATTTTATGGACTTAAATAACTCTTTTTTTTTTCAATGCTCTATTTATAATGTCCATCCAATAATATTTCTTTAAAAGAACTTTGAAATTTCGTGTGTATATGCTCTCAGATGGACATGGAGGTCACAAAAATGTGTGTATTTTAAGGTTGTGAAAATTGTGAATGAACCCTAACATTTATCTGTATTTTGAACATTTGATGTTTTTTTATCATAATTTCCACTGAATTAAGACCTAATTTACAGGATTGTCTATTAAAGATGTGTTTGTTATCTAGAAATTTTAAATCATGCATATAAATGATGATACTATTACTGAATAGATTAAGTTACCTTCATTATACGTAAAACAGAATGTGTGGTTAGATTAAATTAGTGATGATTGGTATGAAGTATATTGTAATATTTATTTGTTTATATGAACATATATTAGCATTTACATTATCATATACGAGTTTGTATCAAAGCTGGTGATTTAATGAAAGCATTTTTTTAATCTAAATTAATCTTTTTTTACATAACCGAACATGAATTATATAATAATAAACACCCCCGCATAAGATACAGCAAATTTTTTTTTTTCTCACTAACTATTGGATTTATATTGACTGTGTTGGTGATGGGGCATTAATGTGTGGATACAAGAAAATGTTTCAGTTTGGTTTGTCTGAAGTGGTTTTGTGATTTTAGGTCATCTTATTTATATAGTTATAGAATGTACTTATAGGATATTTGATAGTTTATAACCCTTTATAACAGACTCTGACCATAGACAATTATTAATTTCAAAAGCTTTCTGTCAAGATATGTGGTTGTTGGAGATGTTTTAACTGCACTTTTGACATTATGTTATCTGTATTTTTGTTTTTAAGAATTACAGGACAGATTTAAGCATACTTTGATCTTATTAGGTAATTAAGAAAAATTTGTAACTAAAACTTGAGAGGTATATATATATAACTTTAGATGTGGTCTTTTATGATTTTTGACATTATCAATATGTAACAATTTAATTAGTGTGTTGACCTTTTTGAGACTGTCTTGTACATTAAAAAATAGGAAGTGGTTTAAAAATGTTGGCATGTATCTTGAAGCTTTAAAACATTTTTCAAAAATGAGTTAGACCATTAAAACATAGAATAATAAAAATAGTGGTTTAATCATTAAACTTAGAATATCAAACTTAATATGTCATGTATAAAAACTGACCCTCATAGATATTTTTATTTATTAAGACACCACAGATGACACCTAATTGACAATTCAGATTAAATTAAACAATCCAGTTTTTGCTAAATTGTTTAAAATATTCTTAACATATGTGTTGTAGTGGTCAGAGTAAGCTTGAAAACTTATGTTAACATTTGATGTTCAGTTCCAGAATTAAGCACAGCACAGATAGCCCATTTGCAGTTTTGAGCTTAACAACAAACATTTAATTTTAACATTTCATATTTTTATAACTTATCAATCCATTGTATAATGGATAAAATAGCAACTGCTAAATTTAATTCAATCGTTCCAAGTCTAGAGTTTGTAGTTGCTACTGAGATTATAAACAGTGATTGGCATTTTTCTCCATGTTATGTTAAACATATACTTTAATAGTAATTTCAAGTTTATGATCCCAGAGATAAGTGAGTCATGCATTTGTCTTTTGTTTTCTTTTATTCCTAAAAGTTAACTAATTTGGTATTTAACATTCTTAGTTTAAATCATAAAATTTGTGAAATATAAGGGAACATTTTTAACATGAAGAACAGTGAAAGAAGCCATATTCTTTACACTTTTATTATTATTCGTTGACTTAATAAATTTTGTATGTCCTGCTTGGACAATCACTGTTTGTTATCTGGTTAATCACAGTAAATCCTTATTCTAATTCAATTGTTATTATTAAAGGAAGTTTTCAACCTGATTATTAACAGAAAGCTTGCTATTTCAACAGTATTTGGGCTTAATAATCAATCTGGTGTTGTCTTTCCATTTTAGAATTTTATGTAGTCATCTTATGATATTGAAATATGGTTGTGTAGACTTCAATTTTCTTAGCAAGATTTGTTTTAAAAGGAAGGTGAACATTCTTTAATTGTAACTACAGTGCATTTAGGACACTTTATGTTGTAAGATATTGAGTTTTGATTGTATTTTTTAAGGTTACTTTGATAATTTCTTTCTCAAATGTTTTTCTTAGAATGCAAATCAGTATCCTTATGTTGAAGAATTTGAAAGTTTAGTAGCAAAAGCTCGACCTCTTCCTGTTCATCTAGAATTGCTCCCACAGTTGGAGTCTCAGGTGGCTGCAGCCAAAGCTCTCCGAGAAAGAACTGCTCGTACCTTTTTGAAGAAAAACTCTGTATTTACACTTCTTGAGGTAAGTTTCTGATAGCAACCATTAAATGGATAAACTGGATGCATGCATCTACTAAGTTCATTCAAAACAACATGGTACTAATTCATAGTCAAATGGTATTAGATGACAGATACATTTTATGTCTAGAGAATTATCAGTATGTTAAAAGTATCTAATTCGTGACAAACTGTAAAGGATCATATAGCTGGGTGCTAAGGAAAAAATAGCCAAGAGAATCACTGGCTCTATGTATTAACTCTCTCAATACAGGCTCGGTGGGCTAGACCAACCACTTGACATTTTTGTACTTGTTTAAAGTCTTTATAGATTTGATACTACTAACTTTTAATATAGTGGGTATATATTCATGAAATGTGGCAGTCTTTCAGTAGACAAGTCTCTCTCATACAAAAAATCACATTTTTAGTTAAGTATTTTTAATAAACTAAAAAAAGATTTGTCCATGAATATATTGAGTATTTCAACACTCTTTGTTTTGAATAGTCCATGTACAAAGTGATTTTTATGTTAAGATCAAAAATACTTTTCTTCATCTCAAAAAATCTCAAATTTCATTTGTGTAATCTCTAAAACTTCCTAAATACATTTTAAATGTTCTTTTCAGTAAAACCTTTACATTTTATGTATTTGACTGATTTAATAACCACCAAAAAAATCTAAATAAATCTAAATTACCCTCTTTTTCTTTCTATAATGACTTTAAATTGTAACATGGAACTACATTCGGTTATCCTAAGTAGCTATAAACTCGTAGCAGTATTTGTAATTAAATTTTATTGCCCTTCGGTTGCTCTTTGAATCGTGTCTAACTACTATTTGTGCCATTATAAGTTGTAAATCACTTGGGGAACTTGCAGCTCACCATGCTGTCGAATTACGTTACCCACGTGTGCCTCATGAAACATTTTTATAATATTATTATTTATTTTACATAATCTAACCTTAATTAACCTAAAGAGGTCCCTGTTTTTACACTTTAGTAACTTTTATAATAATAAATAAAGAATAAACAAAAAACAAGAAATAAAGTAATTACCCAAGTATTCTTTTTTTTTTTATGCTGTTGACTATCGATGACACTTAACCCTACTTTTTTTATACTAATGGTATTAATGCACTAAATAATTTTTATTTAATTAAATAATGCACCAAAGAACATAGAATAATAACATGCAAAAAGCAGACAATTTCCCTTAACTATCACAATTTTTCTGGCTTTCTAAGTGTGCGACAACCATAGCAATAATTGGGATTATTTATAGAGAGCTGAATTGGAG